CATGTTCTATTTATTTTCAAGCTTATTAGTGTATAACGCAACAAGCTAATGCCGAACTGTTTGCTGAATTTGCTTTCTGTGTAGAGCTTTCCTAATTGTTCATTTATGAGGCTCTTAGAAGTCAGTCACACATGTAGGCAGCGGAGAAGCTCCCTAGGTTTTATTTTAACAGAGCTCTAGTGGTGGTGTGAAATAAATACACAAATCTCACAGCTAGAGAGGGAAAGGGTGAAGAAAGAGATAGACAAGCGTCAAAGTGTGAACACAGAGGTGTTATTACGTTAACTGGGTGTTAATTTAATGTTAAATATGTCTGGTGTTAGAAAACATGCCACTTTAATGAGCTGCCGATATACACACACACTAGTTAGTGCCAATGAACTGTCTTGTGTGACATAGCGTGCACACACACACATAAACCACCACATGCTACCGTTGCTGGGGTAAAGACCAGCAGCTGCAGGGGCAGGTGGTTTAATGCCTCTTCCACGATGACATTGACTGCAAATGCGAATTACACTCATTAGTGATGTATCTATGACAGCTCTCTTCATCTGCTCGTTACATTATGACCATTACTCATTATAGCATGACCTGTCACTTTCATCCAAGTCAAGTGTGGCCCCAAATTAGGATCATCTAAATATATTTTACAAGTGTCACATTACCTTTATGTGACATTATACATTACACATTTTGTTGTATAATCATCCCTTTTAACATGGAAGACACTATATGACCACACACACACACACACACACACACACACACACACACTCCTAAAACCACTTTTTGTAATGTATTTTCAATTAATTACTAATCTGACACAATGACGTATTTAAATTATATTAATCTGGGGGCATTTTTTCAGCAAATATTTATATAAGAAATTAATTGTGAGTTATCTGATTAGCTAATCAGTATATCCATATAATTAATCTGGACATTTTTTTCGAATGACAGCCCTATTTATAATACATTTCCACTGGTGTGACACAGGTCAGCTGAATATATCAAAACAGATGTCCACATCTGCAAGCTACCCCCATCATTAGCTAATCATGAAATATTAGGCAAATTGCAGTGTAATTTGGAGATTACCTTTCTAATGTTGCCAAACAACAAAGGCAGCTTTAATTGGGAACATTTGTTAATTATGACCTTAAAGGAAAGCAGTACACCTGAAAAATCAAGCAAGAACGCACAGGAAAGCCTCTGGTACAGCATTCACAGTAAGTACATGCATCTGAAAGCACATAAAGGTTACAGGTTTTAGTCTGGTTTCAGTGTTACGTTCTTTCTCTTCACTTATTGTACTAATATAATAAATGAAGATCTTGATTTTCACTATTTTACATATATAAAAACTACTCTTAAAATATGCAAAAGAGAAATAAAATAAAAAGCAAAAAATGTACACGTACATTTTACTCTCAGCACAGAAAAAAAAACTTATTTTATCCAAGAATACTCAAAAGGAAAGATTTTTGATATTTTGACTGCACCTTAAAAATCACACTCACTTACAGTATAAATCATAACACATCTCAGATTTAATGGAGGGCGACTGAAATGTCTTCGTATTCAGTGGGATACCCAACCTGGGACAGGTGCCAGAGATCTGGTTTTGCGCATATGAGAAAGATGACTACAACTGAATTTACAATCATGCAAACTGAAGTACACAACCATGCAATCAAATATGATTGTATGATTTGTTTCCTAAAACTGAAATTATGGCTTTTTATGCTGTTCCTGTTATTGATGTGAGCCATGTTATACTATAATTACTCATCATATTTTCTGCCATTATATTTTTGAAGAATGCAATAAACTGAGCTGTATCCCAAGTATTGTATCCCATAAAATACCATCAAATAGTGGCATACTACTATCAACTTAAATCAGAAGTCAGAAGAAATCAGAAATCAGAAGTCGGTCGGTTGGTCGGTCGGACGGACGGACGGACAGACAGATAGACAGATAGATAGACATATAATAATAAAATGCTAGAAAAAATGACAGACAGACATATAATAATAACAGACAGACGATAGATAGATAGATAGATAGATAGATAGACCTATATGTTCTTGCCAGATGTTTTCTAATCAAAGCAACAAAAGGCACTATTGACGTCAAGTAAAAGCAACTTTGGAAATGAACAAAGTCTTTAACTCTGTGAGGTCATAATTACTCTGTCACTATCTAATTGTACGGTCCCCTTCAAGCAATTAAATAAAATGAACAGCTGGCTGAGTCTTTATGAAGAGTTGCCTGATCTTCCTGGGTTCGAGCACTGCCTGACGACCTTACTGAATTATTAGCATAATTACGTCTGCACTTGGATGTGAATGGAAAATGTGAGGCTAGCTGGGCCAGAGACGATAAAGCTTTTTAATGACAGGGAGAATGTGAGGGAAAAGCCCAGGCTGATGATTCCGACCATAAACTGTGATTGGAGGTGGGCGCTGAACCCGGCCCAAATGCTGAGGTTTGACTTGGCTTGGAGAATACCTCAGACAGGAGAACAAACCTGAGTGAGTGAGAGAGAGATATGGAGAAGATCCATGGTAGAGGAACATGGCTGTTTCACCTTCTCAGGTGTCACCTGATCCATATAAAAGGATCAACCGGCCTCCACCTGAATAACTCCACCTGAGTGCACTACGGGGAACAGGAACCAAGCCACCCCCAAATCCTCCAAATCCTCCACCCCCTACCCCACCGTCCAGTCTCAGGAAGCCGAGCTGTAATGTAATAACTCTGTTCAGGCTCCAGGGACCCAGATGGCCCGGTATAGACCAGGTGCAGACAGGCTGGAGACGGGGCAATGAACCAGGGTGAGCGCTGGCCATGGACGTTGTAATACAAGGACCTTTCCCATTAGCACAACAAACACCAGAGCAGAACAAAGCATCTGATGCAACTGAAAGGTAGTCTCTCCTCCGGTTAGCCCTCCTTAGCAAGACAACAGCCAGGCCCACCGCTGGGCAGCCCTCCTGGGAGCTAAAAGGAATGAGCTAGCATTAGCCCCAGGGTGAAAGTAGCTATAAACAATGAGCATCAGCTCTAAAGAGTTTTTTTTTTTTAGATCTTCTTTACATTTCGGGCAAAATTAGTACTAAGGAAAATGTTGTGTCCAAACATATATAATATGTGAAAAACAGTACTTTTTCTAGTGACTAGAGGTGTAGTGCAACCAAATTCTACATCACTGTTTTTAAAGTGTCATTTTATTGCATACACAGCTTCATTGCCAAACTATCTTTCAGAAGTGCTGGGCAACAATTAATCGTGATTAATCGCATCCAAACTAAAAGTTTTTGTTTATATAAGATATGTGTGTGTACTGTGTATATTTATTATGTATATATAAAGACACACACATACTGTATATATTTAGAAAATATTTACATGTATTTACATGTATATATTTATATTCATTTAATTTATATTATATATAAATGCATATATATTATATAAAAATAAAATATACTTAAATATATACATGCATGTGTTTGTATTTATATATACATAATAAACATACACAGTACACACACATATAATATTATATATAAATATATTTAATATATAAACATAACATTCTTCTTAAATATATACATGCATGTGTTTGTATTTATATATACATAATAAATATACACAGTACACACACATTTATTACGTACACAACAACTTTTATTTTGGATGCGATTAATCGCGATTAACCTTACTGACCCCAAACTTTTGAACAGCAGTGTCTATATGTATGTACTGACCCTTTAACTATTTTCAATTTACATAGCTTTTTTGTTAGTAGCTACATTTTCCAGTGAGTTGCTTGGCTGCTGTTTAACTATGTTAAATTATTAGTAGCTTATAGCATTTTTCATTAGTAGCTTGTAGTGTAGCCAACTACTTTTTCATGAGTAGCTTGGCTGTTGTTGAACTACTCTAAATTATGAGTAGCTTGTAGCTTGGCAAGCTATAGTTTCAAAGCAGCTTCCCCAGTGCAGGCTAATGTGTTGCTGAAACAGCAGTGCAGCACACAGGCTGATGGGTATTATATCAGGACATCCCATGCAATCAAGATCAATGGGGGGAGATTAGCATATTCCTTAAATGACCCGAACCACTTCAAAGCTGGTGCATCATTTACCTACGGTCTAATTTCAGGGGCCCGGAGTGATGTTTGGTCAGACGTGCAACATGTCACAAACATGATATTGCTTTACCATTTAATGACCCGTTTACTCACACAACGCAATCTCTGGGCATATCGGGTCACTCTGAGATCTCACAGGAGCATTTCGGAATGTGCTCTGCTGGTTACCACCTACTGTAGAAGTCATTTGTTTTCCGCTGACAGCCAGGAGAAAGCGATCTCCCGGTGCCAGACTGACAACATGCTGAAATCCTCCACTGGCGTGGAACAGACTCCACTTGCATAATCAGAATCTGGACACAAGCACGATCTCAGGCGAAGAGAGAAAGACATGGACCATGTGATTGGTAACTGCACAGTGAAAACCTGTCGGTACTCCAAAAGACCCCATATGTAACTCACACAGATTCACTAAACCAACCCAGCAACCTCGGCCTGAGGAGCATTTGGGATGGATAGGAACTGGAGATGCCCCAGTTAATGTTGGACAATTTAGAATGTCATTACAGTTTAAACATCACGGGAGGACCAGGGTTTGATCCAAATCCTCGTGATCAGAGTTTCCAAACCCTTTCCTCAGTCTTTCCCTAAGCTTGATAGAAATAATAAAGAGAGTGTAATGAACAAAGCAAGCCAGTTGGATCTGAATTGCGGAGCAGCTTAAACCATTTAAAAGCGGTGATTGTTTTCTGCCTAAGGAATGATTGCATAAAATGACACTGACAAGACAAAGTGTTTGAGGACTACCAGTGATGCTTCAGAGCTGTCCATCATCCAAGCTCTTCACATCCAGGACTCAAGCCCCCATGCTGCACCTGGTGCTACTCAACTACTCCATACTGAACTCTAGTCCCTTAAACTGCTTACTGATGAGAGTTTATATTAAGACTTAACAAGCATGCTTTTCTTTCTTGGCATATTTCCTATTAAAGCAGAAAGTTGGCATGTCTCTATTTTTTTAAACAGTCAATAGTCTTTAGTTTATATCACAGCCATAATCAATGACGGGTACTTGCTTTTACTATCAAAGAGGTTTATAATATTGAGAAAGCACTATCTGTTACAATTCACAGTCAAAATATATAATTTGATATGGTAGTTGCAATTTACAATTAATTTAGTCAGAATAAACCGCTACTTTTGAAAGAACATCAATGGAGAAAATTGCTTTTTTTGTAATGAAAAAAAAAATCATTACAATTTCATAATTAAAAATAAATACAACATAAACGATATTCTAACATTTCTAATCAGGCACCGAATAGAGTACAGATAAAGACTAAAAATTTTAAATGTGCATATGTGCTTTAAAAAAACACTTAAAAACTATTCATAATTTGATAAAAAAAAGTAAAAGAGCACATAGATGGCCTCAAATCTAGCAGATACGGAATAAAAGCCACAAAATTGCAATTTTCATGGCACACCATTCTTAAAGTCATCATCAAGACCACAAATCTGACCTCAAAAGAGGTGTAATACCCGAAATATGAGAATTACAGATGAGGTAATCCGTTTACTTGGCCAAGAAAACCCACAATTGAATAAAAATCAATCAATTTGGTCCATTTCGTTAACACACAGGTGTTTCCGTGTGCTTGTAACTCCTTTTCAAAGAGTTACTTCCTTGCCTTTATGCAAAAGTTAATCTCCCTGATTTATGGTAAATCTTACAGCTGGGAAATGGGAGACAAGTACGACAGATAAGTCATGGGCGATGTGTTACGCTATCAGCACCAGACACTATTCGCGTGGAAACGGAGGAATGTGTGCGCAGAAGCTGTTAGTTCCCAGAACTGCTGCATTGATACATATCCATAAAAACACTACTGGGAAACTAATCACATAAAACACTCGGACATTGATCAATACAAGCCGTTTGTCTTTAAACGTGATCCATTGATGGCCGCGCGGCACTATTCACAAGTCTGCCCAGACAGAATGGAAAACATCTGTGGGCTTAAGAGCCTCTCTCACATACTATGTCTTTGTCACCTGACCCAATGGTGTGACAGTCACGGAAAGATGAACCAGATTATGAGCCAGAACCATCTATGTTTCCAGTAAAACTTACAGCCATTTATTATTTCTCTTTTCTTCCAGCCTAGCCTTCCTCTTGTTGCTTAGCCAGCTTTGGAGAAAGTGCCAGTGGGATGTCTACAGCTTTGGCTGCCTCCAGCTTTCTCTTCTGTCAATCATACGGATGGTCTCTTGATAGCACAGCCCTCAAGGGTTAGAGAAATAAAAGCTGCAGAATTCCAGAGAACCTTCAGCTGACATAATGAGGAAGACAGTATACGCACATGAGAGAGGAAAAGCAAGTGAAAGGGATGGTGACAAAGACAGATAGAGAGAATTGAGGTCAATTGGACAAACTTCAGCCAAAAATCCAAAGGATATTCCATCTGGTGCAAGTAAAATAAAAAATAAAAAGAGTCTTCCGGGGAAGTTTTAAGAAGACTTGGATTGATTCACTATATTAAAGAAAAACATTATTTCTGCTGTTATATGCGACGTCCTGCTGAGTATTATTCTTCTGGAAAACCACAAAGACTTTCATAAGAAGACAACACAGGGAGAAGCATGCATAAACTGTCAAATAAAGGAATCGAAGAGAAGTTGATGAAATAATCTGTACAATTGTAAAACTAGTGGATGAATCTCTATGGGAAAGTTTATACTTTAAAAGGAAACAAATATATAGAAATACTGTACAGAAAAGGGTGAATTCACTAAATAGTTGGGGTGGACTGCATGGAGCATTTTCATACAAAAAATTCTTAGGGGCCATTCACACAGAATGCATTTTTGTGTTTAAAAAAGTGAGTCATGGAATGGAAAAAAACACAAGGTCTAGAGACACTTAACTTTTTTAACTTTAGCGTTGCATTTTTAGAATCCAGTGTCATGCTCAAAACCCTGCAAAA